AATTTCTATTTCCTTTTTCAGTGCCATATTTAAATGCTAAAATCAATCCCACCTGCACTACAGACAGTTGATAAGTATCTACAGCTCCCATTGACTTCCACACAGCTCGTAGACATGCAAAATTTTGAGGTAAATGTGATGTACTTGCCTAAAGACTCTCAGATTTACAAATGAGGACTAACAAGTTTCATGGAAAGCACTAACAGAGCTAGCAATAATTAGTCTTAAAAGGCTAAAAACTTGATGGTGTTCCTTTGATACAAGCTGCCCCAGCATTTCCTGTACTGCCACATTTTCAAAGAAATACGGCTGGCAAGAAAATCCACTTGAGTGTGCTTATAATAGCTATTGGCTAAGCCAGCAGTTTTCCCAAGGGTTCATGGGAAATTCATTGCTTGAATTCTCAACCACCAAGGAGCTCTAGGTGTTTCTAGAAATAACTCATGCCAGATGGGCTCCCAGTACCTGGTTCTCCAAGCAAGGAAGTTGAGTGTACTGACCTTCTTGACCTTCTCCATAGTCTTACTGAATTCCTTTAACCCACATGGACCTGAGATCCCCAGATGCATTCCCTTCCTTGCAAAGCAGTTGTAAAGGTGATAGCTCAGTACACTGCGAGGTATTGTAACCCTACAGAAAAGGGGGACTTGAAAAGACCTAGAACAGAAAAAGACTCGAATGTAACAAGCTGTTGTAGTACATTTTTAATATACAATTTTATGTTAGCTGAGGGCAAATCATGGGATTTTTTTCTGACCCTTTCTGTTTGGCGGCTATTTATTATTTCAATAGGTGCATTTCAGAGAAATCAAGAGAGTTCACAGTAACTTTGAAGTGCAATGTTACTTTTCAAATATGCCAATTTACTGCCCACAACGTTCCCTATTGCTCCTCATAAACTTTAATTTTGCTGGATGCCCATGTCAGATTGTTTGGAAATACAAAACATAGCCACTGGTCAGATAATCTCCATCCCCACTTACAGCTGACTGTAAGCAGTGCCAACTCAGGCTCGCTGTGACTTCGGCAACAGCATTGCTGTCTCCGAGTGCTTCAGTAGTGCCTGTTTTCTCAGATAGGGCCTTGACACCAAAAGTAGCAGACATAGATAATTAATGAAGGCACTGAGACCTGTCTGTTAAAATCTATGCAAAACGGAGGTAAAACATTGTAAAGTTAATGCAGTCTAGTGTTATCCCTCATTGTGCTTACAGATCCTCTGCATGCCTAATACTCCTGTAGGGTAAGGGGAGATGCGAGTGTTTCGGATGACAAGGGAAGCCATCAACACCTATATCCTTTCTTTTTAGCAAATTATCTGCAGATACTGTGCTGGTGGAGGACAAGGCAAGGCTAGTTATCCCCTGATAACACAGGGGCACAGGACATCAGCAATCCATTCCATGTGCTGGCTCCAAGTTTTCTCTCCCTTGGGTCAGTATGCCTTAAGTGCAAGGAGCATCAGAATGTTGTGTGGTCAAGGCTTCCCTGTCCTCTCCAGAGAGGTTTTACTCTCCAACCTCCTTCTTTCCATGTTGCTCCCAAAAACGTGAGGGCTCTGCAGTTTGCTGGTGATATCTTGGCCTGGGGTAATATGTATTCCTCCTGGTAGAATTTCAGTTTCAGCCAGAGCTGAATCAGGGTATCTACACCTGGGCCACTGCGTTGCCTTTGGTTTTATGGCAAGCTTTCCAAATATCTGCAAAGTTTTCTCTTTTTCTGTTAAATTATCTTGTTCTTGCTATACTCCCCCTAGTTCCACTATGGAGCTAAAATTCCTGAGCAAATCAGCTCAACGCTCATGCTCTCTTCCAAATCTTTAAGTCCCTTTCCAAAACCCATATAAACGTTCAACAAAGTCTTTGAACTTAACTGCTTATTCGAGTAATCACTGTTCTGCCTTTTAAAACTTTTTTGAGTAGTTGCTCTTACTTACTGCTGTAGGGAAGTTACAAAAGCATTGCTGGGAACTATCCTCTCAGCTGAAATAATTTTTCCACCTTCAAATAACTACTTTTAACTGATAGGGCACCAAGTGGACTTGCACTATTTTCCATAAGAAAATCTCACAATTTTGGTAAGAAGAGAATCAATAATTTTTACAAAGGTTTCTATTTCAGATAAGTAATATTTACAACTAAACAAAATGACTGAGATTGTTCCTTGTTTTCATTTTCCAGAAGTGGGCACAGGGGGAGGGAAGATGGGGAGGGAAAAATGAGGTAATACAGTTTCCTGTTTACTCTCATTCTTGCCTTCTCTCTAACATGCCCCAAATAGTGCACAGTTAACTGCTCACCTAAACCTCAGCACTCCCGAAGCAGGGGAGCAATGACTGAGCAGCTGTATTAGTAGCTGTGGATAAAGAGACTTGTAGTTAGGCAGCCCTGTGCAGAGCTGAAATACTTGGCTTGGGTCCTGCAGCAGAGGTTTACCCCTTCAAGGACTGCTGAAACAATTGATTTTATTTTCCTGAGACAGAAAATGAGTTAGACAGGTATAGCTGACTAAGATTTTCCATAGACCATTTTTCAAGCATTGCTTGTTTTTCTTTTTTTGAAATCTGGAGACAAGGTGATGATTATAGAGAAAATATTTCACATTAAGCACATCTTTAGGTCTGTGTGAATAGGTTGACTAGAGGTTGGTTTTTTTCCCCATAGGTCTGTGCAAAGATCTGTGCTTGCCCACATGAAAGGCCCTATTATCTCTCACTGCGAACACACACACTCTGGTTTTCTCCCAACCCTACAACCTGTCAGGGCTTTCCCAAACCAAACCACAACAGCAGAAGCATTTAGCATTTCTGACCCGCTAACAGCCAAAACTCTCCAGCAGTGATGGGGAGCCTGAGGCCCTCTCAGACTAAATTTTGATTCCTGCCCCTCGTCAGGAGGAAAGCAGAGCTGAGTCTGGAAATGCTGGGAGGAGGTGGTGTCACTTGGCTCATGCCGCATTTTTGAAGTGCGTGGACGCCCACCAGTTCTTGATGCTGAGATGACACCATGAAGGGATCCTTACGGCAGCTCCTGACAGTTCATTAGTGCCATGACAGTCTTCTACCCATCTATTAAACATCCTCACCCTTAGTAAACTTAATGTTATCTTACTTAGGATTGCGTTTCTGTGTATCGAGTGTCTGTGCCCAGGTGCTGGCAGAGAGGGCCTGCAGGGCAGCCTCTATGAGGAGAGACCCAG